ATTCAGAAGACCAAAAACTCAAAGCGATAGGAAAACGCATTGGGTCGAAAATTGGGGGTTGAAGAGTGATTTCTAATAAGTCTGAAATCCTAGCACGATCAAAAATCGCCTTGGTAGGGCCATGATTCACAAGACGTGCATGCCATCTACGAAAAATAACATCAGCTTTGGGCCAAGTACGAATATCTTTTTGGCGAATCGGCCTCAATGGCAAAGAGTTCAGGAATGGAGGACCTTGAGTGCAAGGGAACAGCTAGCTCACCGCCACTTGTCTAACGACTTCGGCATTATTGAACGATGGATTCAGATAGAATTCATTGAGGTCAGCATTAGCTTGTGCAAGGAAGTTTGGATTTACATACAGCCTAGTAAGGATTTTCTGGAAATCTTCGAAACTAAAAGAATCATTAGATTGAGTTTGTGAAGTCGCCATTGGGAACAAAGTACAGTTTTGTTAAGGTTTGCCTGAGAAATGTAGCAGAGAAGCAAGAAGATGAACAGTAAAATAGCGAGGAGGAAGCACGAAATATAGAGACGTGGTTTAGTGGTGTGATGAAATGGCGTGTCTTTTGGGTTTATAAGGGTTTGTAACATTGCACCTTTTCAGACTGTAGAAGGAAATAATGATTGAAATTCTTGGAAATTTCAAATATTGCTGGAAAATACAAAGTGAATATGGTAAAGATTAATAATTGGTATTAATTCTGCCATATTGGGGGATAATTGTTGACACGCTAAAAGTGTAGCCCAAATCAAATAACCCAAAGAGTGAAACCCAATTGGGAAATCTAGGATAAAGGTCCAAACGGGATTATTGATGAATGCGGTGGAAGCCCACGAATACGGTAACATCATCGCCCAAGCTTGCAAGACATCCAAAATCTGAGCGAATGGAGTACCTTACGGACGCCCAGAGCGATAACCCCGTTCTCGTCCAAACCTTCGAATCCCCCAGATCTTAGCAAATATAAAATATTATGGTTATCTAGAATAGCAATTATTGAAGCAATTATTGAGTGATTTTATCACATTCCACGATTTAAGGAGCCCAGTTGAAGGCGGTTGAACGATAAAGAGTAATGGCAATAGTTAGAGATGGCAGTTCCACGACAAGTTAGCCACCATAAAGAAAGTGGGTAGTTATACAGCAATCAAGCAGTTTTCAAGCGGTTTGTCACGAAAAAATCATCAAGAAAATATAAAAGGAAGAGAAGACATAGAGAAAATGACAACGAGTCAAACACTCTCAAACAGAGAATATGTAATTTCGATTTCTTAGTTTAAACTCACACACTTTTTTTAGTACTCGTGTGCTTGCGCCCCTTGGAGGCATTCTGTTTATTTCGAATTGTAAATCATCGCCAATAAAACACCCATTTTTGGGACTTTGTCTCAAGAGGTCTGTTCCTTATACAATCGTCTGATCCCTTTTTAATTGTTAGCGACTACCCACGCGAAATACTAACTAATTTCAATCTTTAATTCAACGGCAAAAACAAACACAAGGATACCACATGACTGCGGTTGAAGGCAATTTTGCTAAGTGCTTGAAAATGGGGTAATTTTTTACCTTGTTTGGGTTGAGTGTGTGAGAAACTACAATAGCAATTGGAGATGTCAACTGTCTATATGAATTTTGGCTTATAAATTGTAATTGTTGAGGCAACAATGGGTTTTTGTTGACCCTTCATACTTGTTGTACATGTATTTTCTTTTTAGAGAAATAAAAAGTCGATCCAGTTCCTACCTTATTCCTTCAATATTTTTGTTGTGCTTGATCAAATTTTTGAAAGCTCAAGACTAGCTAACCAAGAGGGAGGGTGAATTGGTTAATGCAACCTTTTTCAAAAATTAATCCAAGATTTAAACTAATATGATAGCAAATAAGATAATTAAACAAATTGGCACAAATACTAAATAGATAAATTCAAATAACAAGAGCAAATATAAAGACAATAACTAAAAGGGAGAGAGAATGCAAACGATGTGATATGGAGGTTCGATTCAATGCAATGATCTACGTCCCCCATTACCAAACTCTACGTTACGAGCAATGCCTTTTTTACTACATTGTTTGACTGATGGCGCAATCCAACCTTCTTACAACGCTTTTGGTGACTTGTAAATGAAGAAGAATTGATCATTTTACACCATTGAGCTTTCCGAGACCTCAATCGACCCACAATCAAAAGACAAAAATGAAATTACAATTAAAAGCTTCTCTCTCAATTAATGATATGAGCTTAATTAAAAATTATGAGAGAAATAGGTGGAACACTTCAATAATTCTTCAATAATCCACAAAAAGTATAACTCAAGTGTTGTATAAGAAAAACATTTTTGAGATATATGATTTTCAAAAAATTTAGATCACTCAAAAAGTTTTTCAAAAGTTAAGGTAGTGGTTGGTTTGCGTTTTCATTTTCCATTTTCATTTTCAAAACGATTTTTAGTTTTCCCCGAAAACAACCCGTTTTCCGCGTTTTAAGTGTTTTCGACATTTATAACTGAAAACGCTGAAAACGATAAAAAATCGTTTTGTGTTTTCAGTTATAAATTTGAACTCGTTTTCGAAAATGCGTTTTTGAAAACGACGAACGAAACGCATTTTTCACATTTTCAAAAACGAAAAATGAAAAATCGGCCGAAAATGGTAAACCAACCACGGCCTAAATGATTTGATTTTTTAAGAATAAAAGACTAAAGTAGAAAAGATAAATAAAAGCTTCACTTTAATGCTCTAGAATTCTGTAATGATTGCGGTAGAAAGTGGGGTATTTATGGCCACCAAAACTGTCAAAAAATCTGTCAATTCGGACACGGGATCCGGACGTCCGCTTGGGATCTAGACGGGTTATTAGCTGTTTGAGAAACGGTCACTAAAATGATCGTTACAAGATGCATCCGGACATCCGGATGGGCAGAAAGTTGCCCCTCCGAACTTTCTCCTTCCTGATGAATTTTTTATGCAAGTACTTGAAGGATTTTCTCATTTATTGTATATATAAGTATTTTATGAATATGTAGTCTTGAAAATCGTGATACTTATCTTTTTGAAAGTAATTTTTATGGAAGTATTGTTTGTCGTGAAAGAGTCTCGTGCATAAAAATTATTTGAGTTATAATTGATGCGAGAAATTGAAGAATTATATCTTCACATTTTAGTACTCAACCGCATCTGTTCTAATGTCTTCAATTTCTACTTCTAAATGATTTTTTACATGAAAGCTCGATTTCAATCTCTTCATTCGTCGATTTCCAAACTTTGCTTGTGCATTGATCGTTTGGCACCAAGATTGTTTTTCTATGTGTATGAATCTTTGATCTTGATTCTCGTGTTTTTATTCTTCATTAATTCACAATAATCACTAACAATACTTAAATTCAGTTAGTTAGAATTAAACGCAATTTGTTTGTGATAATCAAAACAAGAAGTCAACCATTAGGTCAACAATTTTAATTGTTTGTGTTAATGGAATTACAATTGCGAGGATAATTAGCTAACTAAGATGAGAAACCTCAATGTTATCACAGGTTGTGGCTGAATTTTCGATACAACCCTTTCACAATTTGGTATCAAAGTCAGCTTCACACATGTTGATCTAACCACGTAAGTTTTTAGACAGCTGCTGGTGAAAACAGAGAGATTGTTGCAAATTAGAGTTGTAGTAAGGATGAGGTTGGTATGCTAGAGGATTTTGTTGTTGCCACAGTGATCGTCGATGTTGTCAATTTGGTGGCTTAGGCTTAGGAATTAAAAGAACTGCTGGCTGATATGAAGTACATGTTCAAAACATTAATTTTTTGAAACAAACAAAAAGTTTTCGTTCATGCTGGTGAACATGATGACTTAGAACAAAATGTTCGCTAGTAAGACTCTTCGTTGTGCATAATTGCACCAATTTTAACTATAATGAAACAACTAACTTTTCTTTCACAATGTCCTAAAGAATATCATTTGAAAGATAATCATGTATTTGAAATAGGGCATTTCGATCCTTCTTTTGTCTTGTCAAATCTCAACAACGTGTCGTCTAAATCCATCTAAGCGAGTATTATTCACATCATTACCTACCACAAAAAGAATCTTATATTGCAATCTAATAGGGGAATAATTTACTTCATAGTTGTCATCACGAAAGATCAAGTTGAGTTTTTAACTTGATCAAAACCTCGATCTTCCCAAGAATTGCAAAACTGAAAGCTCTGATAGCAATTTGTTGAAAAATGAAGAAGATATCAGATTGCTTTGATATCACTTTGTTGAAAAAATATAATATTATAGACATAATATAAAATAATTGATCACAAGAATAAAAAAAACAAAATAATTTTTAGAGTGAATGAAATCTCACTAAAATAAACAAAGAATACAAAGAATTTGTATTTATAACTTTGCCAATCTTATAATGAGGTTAAACAACATTACTTAATTCTAAAGAAAAACCACATATATATAGAGAACAAATGGTGAATGTTTAAACCCAAAAAAAAAATAAAAAAATAAAAAAAAGAATTATAGATAGAAAAGAATGCTCAAAGTGCGAAACGGGCCTAAGCCAGATAACTACGCTGCTCGAGCACCAGACAACATCTCCACTACTTGAGTTCCAAGTCTTTGTTGAAATTTTGATGACACTCCTCGATTGCCAAGCTAGTGGCCAACTAACAAGATTGCGACGATTTTTCTTCCCGATCTATAATTTGATCTCTTCAAGTCTAACACAAATTCAACTTCCGATTTGTTTTCCAAATAGAACTTCAACTAAAATTTGCCAAATAAACTTCGAATATGATTCCAAATAAAATTCGAGTCACACTCTAATTCTAATATAATAAAAATGAAAATATGACCAATATATAAAAACTTGTGTCACTTCTCTTAATAAGGATCGCTTTTTAAGTTTGAAACCCGAGTCTTAATAAAGCTCTAGTTGTGACATGATTCGTTTTTGCTGAAGTACATATATGCTTAGCTGGAAATGCAATACGTTCAACCATTACAAATGCACAAGGAAAAGAGTAGAAGATATCAGTATCGAGCTAATTAGATGATCCCTTGTCGAGGCTCTACTCAACAGGAAGTACTAGAGTTTCACAAAAGCGCACACAGTTATTATATTTACTACCCTTGGACACCATACTGCAGCATCTGCAAGGTTAGCCAAAAAGGAATACATCCAAAACGTAAGTATATAGATCAGCAATATACAGCAGCTGATCAGAAGCCAGAAGCTGATCAGGATTTGAATAAATCGCTCCACTTCTTGTTGGTGTTCTCTTTCCAGATTGCATCAGACAGTCTTGAAACTTGATCATGCGAAACACAACACAAATTTCCACCAATTACGTCTTCTAAGACTGGATTCTCGATTCTGTCAGCTGGCTTGGCTACAACGCTGGAGGGCAATGCATGGCAGATACGAGTGGTTGGCGAACGAGGAATATTTTGAGGCATTGGTGAAGAGGAGAACAGCTCGATCAATTTCCGTGTCTGTCCTTTGTCTAACTCAAACCAGAAGAGCCGCCTTTCATAGTAATTTTGACCAATTACAGGTCCAAATTTGTCTTCAAACAGAGGCTGGCACCTTTTTCGGACACTGACTCGCACCTTGAAAGAAAACAGCACGATACATTCATTAATTTGCCAGACCATGTGATATAAAGCATGAAGTACCAATAATTTGTATACCTGCGCAGGATAGGCAGTTCTTTCAGTTCCCTCATTCGCAATCCATGCGTATGGATCGATATTCATCCGTCCAGGGCCTGCAGCCTCAAAGATACCGTGGAGTGTCCGATCACTATAGTTGAAGAGAAAAAGCGGTAAGCCAGTGCTGACATTCTTCACATAAGAGAAATGTCGAGCTGGTAAACCTGCTCAAGAATTTGCCAAAGAAAATTCAAAAAAAAGTCAATAACTTCAACTGGAAAACCAGAAAGTAAAGTAAGTATACATTGTGGGCTCTAGAAGAAACGCACCAAACAACTTCTTACTTAGGCATTCATCCATCGTGTGATGCTTGCAACCAAATACAACCGCACCTAGTTCATGATTTCTTAGATTCCTAGCATCTAAACTAAAATTGCCCAATGAAGAAGATTCGGATTTTTCCTTCTTCGGGGGCATCTTAGTATTTCTTTTCCGCCCCATCTGCAATTACAGGAGAAAAATAAACTAAAACTAAATGCAACAACTGAAGCTATAGGGCAAATGAAGCAACACTGGACAGCATGAATGAAAACCTTGTGCATAAATGAAAGAACAGAACAAAGCCAACCAACAGATATAACAATCGAGAAGAATACTCTACAGTGCCAACTTTTTGGCAATAAACTTTCCTTTATACTTCTATTATCTTGACAAATATCCGTACATACGACTTCCATCAAATATGGCTTTCCGCATAATTCTATATGTATCTTTGAGATCGAGTATGGAATTATGCTTACTCACTTTAAATTGAATCAATAACAAGCTTCAAATATAACATCCTACAATAAAACAGTCCATTTAAAGAAATACAAGCAGAAAACAGCAGCACAGGGGAATAAAACCATGCGAGTTCACTTGTTTTTGAAAAGTTTCTTGCTGAAACATTATAATGTTTTTCACTAAAAACAAAAATATTTGGAGGCAGTGATGGGGATTCAAGCTGGAAAAACATTAAGGTTATGTTTGGTATACAATATACAGTCGAACGAACTAAATATTCACTTGTTTTCCTTCTTTAATATTGTTTAGTACCGTCCTGTTCACCTTCCCAAACCTGCCATAAGAAGTTCAGGGACTATAAGATATGAGCTCCCTCTTGTTTATAACAACAAGATTGGAGAAAGTTTTCAAAATCACTAATAACTTAGTAACAGAGAAGACTGAGTAATCAATATAGGAACTGAACTAGGAATAGAAAATCGAAATTTAGTCTAAAAGAACTTCGATGGCATTTCAGTTCCTTCCTTAAAACTCTGATGAACCAATCTTGCAACTCATTAGAGTGGGATAAGTAAGTATATGATATACAGAGTGAAAATAAATAGAATAGCTAGCAGTTACATTACAGAAACACGTCAATCCTTCCACTGCCATTTGAATTCCGTGAATAGGAAATACATCAAAAAAACAAAAGAAAAAAAAAAAACACACACACACACACACACAATTTCAATCTAACTTCAGTACTGTAAACACTAAAAACACACAAACCATAAGTTAATTACACATGCTTTAGCCCATAAATGTCTCCCAAGAATTTGTCCTCGTCCAATCGAAACAATCCTTTCTAATATGAAGCAGATTGTACTCTGATGAAGACTTGCAACAAAAAGAAGATCAAAAACTTCATATGAAGCCTTTCTATAAACAAAATCTGCCTTCACACTAAATTAACCAGTCGATCATGCTAATTTCTAGCTAACTTAAGTATAACAATTACCAACCATCATAAACGCCACAAACCACAAGTTATAGTTACACATTCTTTTACTGTATAATTTTCCCCCAAATTTAACCCTCAATGCGTACAACCCGAACAATCCTTTATATTATTTCTAATCCAGAATTTCCACAAAACAAATAAAAATAATAAAAAGGAAAAAGAAAAAGAAAAAGAAATCAAAAATAAATAAATAAATAAAAATTTGACATGCAGCCCTACAGCTAAAAGAAGAAGAAGAATTGTTCTCATTAAAATAAACATCCAATCATGCTAACCTACACATATAAAACAACTCAATCTCCCAGAAGATGGAGAAAATATCGAGATAAAAAAAAATAAAAAAAAATTCTTAGGATGAAATCGGTGCAAAAGTTAACAATAAAAAAATAGCTAACTCCCACTCATGCAGAAAACGTAAACTTCGCGGCACTTTTATGTATGCATAACCAAGAGGAAAACTTCATTTCAATTTTTTCCACCAAAATCACAAAATCTGCGACGTCTATTTTTTGTGTATGAACATAAATATCAAGTAACATAGAACAAACAGTGCATTCAAACCATGAATATCAAAGTTTTGATGAAATAAAGTAGGGAAAATAAGGAAATGTCACTGAATAATCTATAAACAAAGATAAAACAAAATACCTTAGCAGTGAAAATCTCAGGAACAGTGTCAGATAAACGTAGAAAGTGAGAGCGAGATGTAAAGTAAAAGGCAAAAATGAGTAATGGAGAGTTGGATACTGGACACTGGATTAATTTTTATTTATTTGTAATTTTTTTATTCAATGTAATTAAAGAATTTGAAAGGACTTATTTCTGGTCTTTTGGCCACGTCAATTTTGCTAAATATTTCAAATTTGGATTATACTACGTGTACATTAAGATATTCATAACATTGTTCATTTTCCTCACATGAAATGGGATCCATTTCGTATTAGGAAAGATAAAGATTAATTGCTAGTCTCTAAAAATTCAATTCAAAGAGTTTGATCTACAATTGAATATTTCAGTCGACTTCTATTCATGATTGTATTTCCAAATTTTATAACGTCATATTTAACCATTGTTTGAGCTACATTATTTTTATAAAAATGTATTTTTGAATAGTATAGTGATAAAAATGTGTGGTTAAAAAATAAGAAATTTTTTTGAATTTATATGTAATATTATTTTATTGAAAAATATGTGATTGAAATGATATCAAATCAATGTTTAAAAATGTATTTTTTTTTTAAATAATGTGGATCAAAGGGCCTTAGTGAATATTTTGGTTCTTCACTTGGTCCTTAATAACCATTCCATTGTCATTAAACATGTCTATAAATTCGTCTTGCCTTTAAAATATTACACATTTTTAACTTTTCAAAATATAGAATTATTTATTTTTGTAAATTTGTTCATAAATAAATTTACTTATAAGTATTTTAAATTTAGCCAAACATGCATAAATACACTGAACTTGCGTTATTTTCCATATTCGTTTTTTAATTGTTGACACTTGAGATTAAAGGAAGAAAAATGGCGTAAATACACGAATGGGTAGTGATTGGTGTGCCATGTAGCGGTTTACAGTACCCTTACAGATATCTCACATGGACGGGGTGGGTGGGTGAGTTTTTTGACATTATTTATTTTATGCGGGGTCCACATTTCGTGAGATAGCTGTAAATTTTCTGTAAGAATTTTTCTGTACACCAAACATTTTCCTACACGAATCTCCCTTCCAAAGTAATTTTGCAAATCATTGAAAAAGGTGGTGAGTTGGCCAAATTTAAATGCCTATTTTAACTCTGTTGATTTGGATTTGGGTCATGTGTGGCTTTGCTTAAAGCTACAAAAATGCCAAGAGAGTAAATGATCTTTTGATCTTCTGAGGATTTTTTCTTTATTATTATTATTTTTTTTTGCACCATTAATGCTTAGCAATAATCTTGATGGTATTTGGGTCCATAACCTCATTATGAATAAAGCTGGGCGTATAGAATGATTTTCATAGAAGTTGTACAGGAGTTTAAAAACGGCTGACGTGGTTTGAATAAAAAAATGGGAAAATGGGAGGGAAACTGGAGACGGTAAAAAAGTGGAGAAATGGGAGGGAAATGTTATTTTTCTTCTTATTTCCCCAAATAGAAGCCCTAAAGAGAGAGGAAAAGGGTCACCATGAGATGTTTTATGGAGCTCCAAAAATAGAGAAAATCACACAAGAACACGCGTCCTTCTCTTCTCCGATCGACACCAATCTCACGCTTAGCATTTTTCTAGAGCTCTAGAAAATAGAGTAAATCATACAATAGCTAATCATCCCACGCATCCTTCTTCTCTTCTCTGACTGAACGCCATTGGCATTTGTTTTTCACGCCATTGACAAAAATAAAATCTGTTAAAATAAAATTGGCCAATAAAATTTGTTATTTTATTATCAGGTAGAAATTGGTTTCACAAAACCATACTTGGTTTCATAGAACCTCTTTGGGCAAGCAAATTTAATGTAGAATGTTTGCAGACAATCACTAGAAGTGAGTACCAAATACAGTGGTTCCTCTATTGGTTTTTAAATCATCATGTTTTCGCGCGGGTTAGTTGTTTAACAATTAAAAGGGATCAGACGATTGTGTAAGGGACAAACCTCTTGAAACAAAGTCCCAAAAAGGGGTGTTCTTTTATTGGCGATGACTTTACAATTGGAAATCAAAAACAAAATGCCTTCAAGGGGCGCAAGCATACGAGCTACTGAAAAAAGTGTTTAAGTCTAAACTAAGGAAATTAAAATTACATGTTCTCTGTTCGAGAGTTTTTGATTCGGTCCTTTGCTCTATATCTTTTCTCCCTTTTTATACTTCATGGATAATCTCTTTGTGATCAACCGCCTAGAAACCGCTTGATCGTTCTACAACTGCCCATTTCCCTCGTAATGACCAACTTGTCATGAAACTGCCTTTTTCAACTGCTGCCATTACTCTTTGTTGTTCAACCGTTTTTCGATCGAATTCCTTAAATCGTGGAACGTGATAGGGTTATTTTAATAACTGTTTTGATAACTGCACTACAACGCTTTATGTTTGTTAAAACATTGGGCGACTTGAAGGCTTGGGCGAGAATAGGGTAATAGCTCTGGGCGACTGCATGGCACTCCATTCGCTCAGATTCTAGGTGACTTGCAAACTTGGGCGATGGCATTACCGCGTTTTTGGGCCTCCCTATTTGGGCCTTCATCTTGAATTGTTTGATTGGGCTTCGTTCTTTGGGCTATCTGATTTGGGGATTCTCCAATTGGGCTTCATTCCTTGAGCCGTTCGATTTGGGCTGAATTTTTATGTGTCAACAATTACCCCCCAATATGGCAGAATTAATAATAATTATTAAATTTTGCCATATTCACTTTGTGTTTCCAGCAACTTTCGAGAGTCCCAAGAATTTCAATCATTATTTTCTTCTATAACTTTGAAAAGGTGCGTCGTTTTGCAAACCCTTATAACCCCCCAAACACGCCATTTCACTGCACCATTAAATCACACCTCAATTTTTCACGTCTCCCTCGCGATTTACTGTTCATTTTTTGCTTCCCTACTACATAACCCTGAAAATTTTTGTTCCATCTCAAATGGCTACTTCACCTAATGATCACATTTCTTACTCCCATATCTATCATTAGTTCTAGGCCTACAATTAAGGCTTCATATTCGGCCTGATTGTTGGTGCACGTTCTGTCTAAAGTGAATGCGAAATTGTAGCAAATTCCTAAAAGATTAATTAATGCTACTCCTACTCTTGCACCTTTAGAGGTTTTTGATCCATCGAAATACAACACCCAAGGTTTTAACTCGAACGAATTGATTTCTAGTTCAATTTCTTCAGGCATGTCAAGGCATGGATGATCGGCTAGAAAATTAGCCAAAGCCTGATTTTTGACTGCCTTTTGAGGTATATATTGTATCTCGAATTCTGATAAAGCTAGTGTCCAAAGGCCTATCCTTTGGTGTAAAATAGGGCGCGAGAACATATACTTAACTAAATTTACTTAAGAAATTAAATAAACGGTTACGGGTCGTAAATAGCCCTTAATTTTGTACATGTGAAATACAATGCAAAACATAATTTTTCAATAGCAGAGTAATTACATTCACATTTCGTTAATTGTCTTCTTAAGTAGTAAATTGCCCTTTCTTCACCAAATTGATCTTCTTGTGCGACCATTCCAGCTATTGATTCTTTTTCAGCCGATACGTACACTTTCATTGGCCGTCCTTGGATTGGTGACACCAACACTGGTGGACTTGATAAATATGTTTTCAGGCTTTCAAAAGCCTTTTAATGTTCTTCTTTCCAGACGAATTCGTCTTGATTTTTCAGCTTTAAGAGCGGTGAAAAGACTTTAGTTCGCCCTGCACAGTTAGAAATAAAGCGTCTTAAAATGTTTACTTGGCCTAGAAACCTTTACAATTCTTTTTTGATGCTAGGTGGTTTGGCCTCTAAAATGACCTTCGCTTTATTTTTATCAAGTTCAATCCCTCTCTT